ATAGATAAATTTTTCTGCCGCACAACATATAGTAATGAATGGGTTTGATAGTGGAACCCAGCACCCACCACGTCCTATCTAAAAACAGCTTTACTCGTCTGTGTGTAGGTGAAACAGCCAAACAAATTTTGTGGATTCTCTATTGCTGACGTATCCAAATACAAACATCTTTTTGACTGAAGCTGCACCATCTTGAGGTTCAGCTTGACATGGTCATGATGCTTAAATTTTGTTTTGTTGTATATTGATTACCGACATCAACAGTAGACCTTTGGTTTAATTGATTAGAAACCATATTTTCATTAAAAACATCTAAAAATGTGAGACATTATACCATTAAAATAATTGTATAATTTTAGGAAGTATATACAGCTAATACCACAGCGTGCTCCATCAAACGTTAGAGAAAACATTTCAACTTTTGTGAAGCACATTAAATTGCATTTGTGTTTGTACTGGATGTGCTTTACAAAAAAAATGATTACATACAATATTTGTATAGTCTTGTTTGGGATAATCATATGGGATGAACTATGGGGGGAGCAGGGAATGTGTGTTGAATTTAAGATGCTGAGGAGGAGCCATAGTGTATGAAAGCACATGACCCTCTCTAATGGTCTGTCCAAATGACCTCATTGTATTTGTCTGGTTCTGCAGTGGAGGCCCATTTTAAACACAAGCCTTGAAGCCTGTAGGAAGCCACAACTCAGCTGGAGCGGCCCAGTCTCAGTCAGATCAGAGACAACCCCAGTGTGCGACCACAGATCATGGTGGGAGGAGGTGGGGTAGTGTTGGCGGACAGAAGCGGGTGTTGGGATGGTTTGAGATGAGAAAAGGTAACAAAGATTAAGAAGTGAAAGAGACACAGGGACTCAAGTGCAGAAACGCCAACTCTAACGGACTCATGGCCCCTCATGGGGTGAATGTTGGTGATCTGCGGCCAAAGCATAGATGATGTCATGACTCTTGCGCCTACCAACCTTGTGCTATACATCATCATGCCAACCACCCCCCTCCTCCTTGAAACAGCCTCCCCTCTCCACTGGATTTTGTCTTGTGAATGGTTCATTCTCCTTGCAATCTAATGTAATTATGTAATCTAGAGTCATTTCACTGGTTGCTTAACAAAGACAATGCATTGTTAATTTAATGAATGTATAGTTTTGATGACAGTGGCTTAACTGTGTGCGTGGAATTGTGCTGTTTTCATTGAGGACGCTGTGAGGACTGAAACCCTGTTAAACCTGAAACCTACAAAGTGCTGTAAACAATATATATGCATAAAAAGGCACACACAACCTCTCAGTGATCACCGCCGCTGTTAACGTAGCTGGAGGTGGCCGATCTGCATCCAGACTGGTTTCTTTTACAGTTTCAGTTTGACAGCTGTTCTCTTTATTTATTTGTACTGTAGAACACGTTGAGTCATCGTAGACAGTTATCGCTGCTTTAAAGAATTGTAACGTGACAGGATTGTGATTTCTATAACACTTATGCAGCAGTTTTATTTATTTTTTCCATCTTGTTTTAAAGACGCATTTTGTATTGATCCTTAAAACACAGTGATCGTTTGTTTTATTATAAAAGTCGTAACATCAATACAGATGAACCTGAAATCGAGTGAAAGTCTTTGATTTGTGTTCACTCCAGGATTTAAGACATTTTTGAAGACATTTCTTCAAATCTGCTCTTTGGGACTACATACTGTACAAATATATTGCTTTTCACTCAAGATATGTTGATTAAAGGATAATTCTGGTTTATTACAACTTTGGTCTTAACTGCTTCAGACCTCAAGCATTTCTCATTATAATGTCATCTTCATGATTACGAGCAACAATCAAAGTTATAAAAACAGATTTAGCTCTTTATTGAGACGTAACACTAAAAAAAATAGCTTTATCATCAGATTCTGATTCAAATGCTGTTAAATTTTGAAAAACAAACCAAAACAGTTCTAACTTTGGCAAAAATTGTGTTTATCTAGGATCCAGTCTTTCACAATAAGAAGCTAGTTAAGAAAATACACATTCAGGGTCCTTAATAACACAGCTTATTAAAATATGTTATCATGCCGACACACACCAGCTGAAAATATCCTGTTTTTTGAGCATGTGTGCTCCAGTGCTATTATGGAAGTGCAGTTACAGCCATTTGTCCAGCAGATGGAGCACTTACATTCCTTTAAAAGGGTAATCACATATCATCACTGTAAAGAGAAATTCACATAGGATGAAATGTCCATGAGAGGACGGTGGCATCTGCAGTGAAGATATTAAAATCACCAGAATTATAGTTAGACATTTTATTCTCATACCACTGTCCTGTATGTACACCATGTGTAGAGTTGCACACTCATATTTGGACAGATTGAAACTAACGGTCTGCTGGTGTAAATGTCACCTGATGATCTTGCCACTCTTGCACAAACGTCATGCACTCGCTCCAGGGTCTTAAGGAATTAAAGGTAAATCAATGTCACTTCTGTCTGGCCGTCATGTTGCTGTTGGCAACCAGGTTGTCATGGTAAACTGCAGTTCAGACAGTGAGCTACTGAGCTGCAGCAGCCAGGTCAGCCTGCACAGGAAGCATTTAATAGCGGGTGGGACCTGTGCGTGTCAGACACCATGTTTGTCCTGAAAATAATATGGTCAGTGCGACCATTTATTAATGGTAAAGCTGCTGTTTCAATAAAAAGTAGTTTTACGTGAATACTTTAAGAACAATTCTAACTTTATTTTTGCTTAGTTTTATATTCTAACCACTTTTGGATTTTTAATTCTTATTAGTTTAGGAGTTTTTGAGCTACACATTAAAGTCATGCTCAGATCATGGCAGTAAGTTGAAGTGTTTTTCTGTGTTATAAATCAACAGTGCATTTCTTGTAGTTATTTACAGTGCTTCTGGAAAACCTGGTCCAGCTGTCCTGTCCATCAGCTCCTGCAGTCGACCGTCCAGCCAGAACTGGGACTGTGAAATTGGCTAATCTCCTCACAGGAAGCCCAGTACGAACAGCTGCTGGACTGGACACAAACTGGAAATGAAGCACCAGTGAGGGACAGGTCGGCAGTAACAGCAAGACATTTTGCCGGGGAGAAAATATCTTAGTTATATTGGATTTGAGTCTTGCATATCTACTACTGTGACTGACCCTTACATCCCCCTCATTTAGCATGTTGTAATGCTGTGATCTAGGATTCTGTATTCTACTGTTGCATATTGTGGGACCATGCACCTAATACCATAAATGTGTAAAAAATGAAACTGCATTATGACATCACTGGGATAGTCAAATTACACACAATCTGTCTGTAAGCTAACAGCCAGGAGACGTTAGCATAAAGTTTGGAAGCATAGGGGAAGCTAGCCTGGCTATGTCCCAAAGTATAAAAATGCTGCCTTGCGGCACTGTTAAAGCTTATTGATAAATATGTTATCTCATTTGATTAAAGCTACATTAACTAACTTCTCCCTCTAATTTTCGACTGTTAAGGGCAAAGTGAGAGTCAAAACAAACTCAAGCAGTATCCCCCCTACACAGTCTAGGTTATATGTCATCACAACAGCTGGAACCAGTTGTTGTAGCCAGGTACTGCAGCAGTAATAACTGACTCCAAAACTAATGTATAAGGGATATAGAGCCCATAGAGCCTGTGGTTTTTGGTGGCATTGCGGTGACACAATGTTAAGTAAAGAAGTTTACATTTTAGAGATACATACATATGTTTAATGTTGTCTTGTACCAGATGTATCTGCAGTAACACAAGCAAATTATACAGAGGAATGTTTTTTCCCAGTAATATTGATACAGTACTAATGTTCTGGCCACTATCTTACTGTATTCAGTGTTAGATACTTCACACACAGAACGCTATAAGGTAACCATGAGTTGTATGAGAAACGAGAGAAATTTCCTGTTACACTCTGATTGTTGAACAACTCCCCACTTTTCTAGTTGTGTATTTCAAAAATTTTTTGACACTTTTGCCTTAAGGGATCTTATCTTTCTTATCAGACTAATGGAAAATGTCCCAGCCAGGTCTGGTATTATCGTTCTTATTTCTTGGTATGCCAATTTTTCACTCATACACTACAGTAGAAGCTACAGTTTCTTGCTGACTAAAGAATCCTTGGAGAACCATGCAGAACCTTCACATATTAATGCCCTATAAAAGGAAAAGAAAAGAAAGAAAGAAAGAAATGCATCAAATTTTAATTCAGTGTAATTCAGTACACTTTGGACCCCACCAATATAAAGGTGAAGGTGAAGTAAGTATTTGACTCAACTTGATTCATTGTGGAAAAACTGCAACACCCTGCCTTAAATATGAGCTACTCACATACCACCATTTCATTAGTGTGGATTTTTTATGGATCATTTTAAACCCTGATACCCAGAAGGGTTTCATTGTTATTTCACAGACCTTTCTACTCAGTGAAAAGTCAAAATACAGGTTCTGTGTTTATCTTTAGAGGTTTTTTCCATTATAATGAACAAATTAGCTGAATCAGCTCTGTCCCATACTGGTGAAAACCCTCAGAATTAACTGTTTAACCCAAGTCAAAATGTAATCAAATGTGATTAGTTATCTCTGTGACCAATTTTATTGTATCCTTCCCTTTAAGGCCTGGTGAGTGTGTAGATAGGTTGCTCCCAGCCAGAGGGAGGACTGTGTGGAGGTGGTGCCAAGGCCAGGCTGTTGATGAGTGGTGTGGCATAGGGCCTTCTGGAGGAGTGGAAGTATGGGTACTGATAAAGACTAGCAGGGTACCCAGAGAAGGCGCTGTAGAACCCAGAGCTCTGAAGATCAGTGTAGTCAGACTGGTTTGTGGAGGAAGTGCTGAGGGAGGTGTACTCAGGTGGTGGCGGTGGGGGAGTAGAGGAGGAGGAGTTGCTGTAGTGATCTGGGCTCATTTGTTCAGTTTTAATTTGTGGCTTTTGGCTGGTGTCCTTGTGAAGCCCACAGGTGTCAGGACTGGATGAGGATGATGGCATACCAGAGGACGTCCCACCAGATGTTTTGGGCGTCCAGCTGGGAATGCTGTGGAAGTGAGAATGGATGCTGGGTAGAATGTTATGTACATGGCTGTTATCCTGTGGGGTTAGAACAGTGGAGTTGTGACTGTTTGGAGGCAGGTACTGGTCAAACTCATGAACATCAAATCCATCAATAGTGCTGATGACATCAGTGCTAAGTTCTGAGATATCCACATTACTGAAATCAATGTTCTGACGGCTGGTAGGAAGACCAGGGGCAGTGCTGTTGTCCGCGGGCCGGGGGGTGTCTTGTTTGCTCCCCATGTGCAGGTCAGATTTAGGGGTAGTGGGAGGTGTTGGAGGTCCATGAGACTGACCTGGAAACCAGAACAAAGAAAGAAATATTTCCAGACAGAAGCACACAATACACTCAATATGAATAAATGTAATAAAACTGAAGATCAGTCCTCTCACCTGTCCTGTTGGGGTGGAAATGTTGGTGTACTTCCACTGTCCCAGCGAGCCTAGCAACCTCTGCTTCTGCCTTGTACAAGCCCTGCTGATCCTGCTGCTGCTGGACCAGTCTGGGTCTGCAGTCCCCTTGACCTGGTTTGGCACTCTTGCGTCTTCGAGGCTGGTATTTGTAGTCTGGATAGTCTTTCTTGTGCTGCAGCCTCAGCCTCTCTGCCTCCTTGACAAAGGGACGCTTCTCTGTTTCAGACAGAAGCCTAAAAAAGAAAAGAGTGAGTTACTGGATTATTGGAAGGTCTTTTAAATACCAAGCAAGTACATTGGCTATATAATGTACTCTATTTATTCATTCCAAAATATATACTGTACATATGCATGTTACCATTTACTGTGGAAAAAAAACTGCATTAGCATTCTCTAAAATACCAATCGAGATATTATTTTTGTTTTTCACCACATTTTTAATGTCAGTAATTCCAATTAGTAATTTCACTGTGGTAATAATTTGCTTTTATATGTATTTTATGCTGTGGTGGAATGTTAATATAAAAAGTACAGTGCATTACTGTGCTTAAGTAGAACTTTGAACATTTTGCTTTCATGCCTATTATGTTATTACACTACATTTAAGAGGGATAGTTTTCTTTAATTTTATTTTTACTAAACGGCGTATTGCGCAGAGAAAGTATTTGCCAGCCAGCATTTTTAATTGCGCAGATCTTAGCAAATTTCCTGATCTAATTGTGTGCTTAATGGCTTCAGTAATACGGTAATAACCAAGTAGTAATTAGGATTTCTACTCGGGAACACTACCTGTGGTGGTCACAAATGTAGCTGAATGCAGTGCTAACTACTCATTATCTGCAGCTGAGACTCTCCAGTACTCACCGCCACAGTTTGCCAAGCGTCTTGCTGAGCTCCGCGTTGTGCAGATGAGGATACTGGTCCGCCAGCTTTCTCCGCGCTGCTTGTGCCCAGACCATAAACGCGTTCATCGGCCGTTTTACGTGAGGTTTGTTCTTCAGCCCTCTGTCTCCCTGACTGGGTATTGGTACCAAAGACCAGTCATAACCTTTCAGCACCTGAGACACGGCGTCGCGGATGCAGGCGGGGAATCGCTCATCCTCCGGACTGGTCTCCGATTTGTGCGTAATCCCAGACTCTGTCCCGTGTGCGTCCGATCCCACTGGAGAAACTGGGGACTCTAAACCGGTTCCACGCTGGGACATGGAGCTGTCGCTGGCTGCTGGACTGCACTGATGGTCGGTCAAAGACTTCTTCTCTTCTGACATGTTTGCCCTGTAAAACGTTACAAGAACGTTCTACCAAGATCCTCCAGACCTCTCCAAGTGCGCAAAGGCGAAAGGCTCTGAAGACTGGTACACCACGAGTAATAGTTAAAATGCCAAATGACTTGTATTTAACTTGTGATACCTTTCCGCATTCTCCTCCCTAGCAATGTAAAGTTTGACCAGTATCTATTTTCTTTTCTGTATTTAACTCTAGCACTTGCATCTCTCCACCCCTCGTGTCCTATTGGCTTATGCAGAGTTTTTCATAGCTTATAGACAAGAAGAAGCAAGAGAGGCAGAGGATTAAAACATTATAATATTTAGTATTCAGTACTTATGATATACTCCTGCATTTAACTAACTGGAATAATTATTTTGTTTGTATTTAATATCCAAAAGATGAGCTCATGTATAATGAATGCATTGTTATACATTAAACTGAGTATACAGTGATAGTATTCAGATATCTTCAGCTATTGCACTTTGTCTTCTACATCTAATTTTAAATGGATAAATTAGACATTTCCCCATTGATCTACACTCAGTGACAAAGTGAAAACATGTTCTCAGAATTTTTTTTCTGCAAATTTATTAAAAATCTGTGACAAAGTGGGTGAGAGCACTCCACTTGTCCCTAAGATATGTTTCTTAATGCCTTAACCTGTGTGTTAAATGTTTGATTGTATTTACTAGGAGGATAAAGGAGGAGGTGGTTAATCACCTCCTCATTCTGTACGCTCTCTGATGTCATCAAGGATGTCATAGGGTTGATTGGTACCAGGGGCTATTTAATCAGCTGAGGTGGCGCAGCTGGGGGTGTGACAGTCTAAGTGTAGCTGTGTGCACATGCCTGTAAGTTGTGTTGAGTTAGTTTGAGTTGAGTTTTCTTCAGTTATGTGAAGTTAAACCATTTAGTTTGTTTAGAGATTTTGTTTTGGCATGTGTACTTTGCTGGCACTTGTTTAAAATAAATTATTGATTTGAGAAAACCTGATGTATTTTTCGAGTCTGTCTCCTACATTCCTGGCCGCTCAGAGTCAACCTACCACAAAATCTAAAACTGAAATTTCATTCACAAAAGTATTCAGATCCTTAATTCAGTACTGTGTAGAAGCTCCTCTGACAGTTAGTTACAGCCTCAGTCTTTCTGGGTAAGTCTTTACAAGCTGTATGCATACATGGATTTCTGCAGCTTGGCCTGGTCTTCCTGGCAGATCCTTTCAAGTTCCATCAGACTGGATGGGATCACTGTGTGAAGGGCCATCTCCAGGTCTGTCCACAGATGAACTGTGGGGTTTGAGTCTGGACTTTGGCTGGGCCTCTCAGGAACAGTCAGAGACTGGTCCTGAAGCCACCCCATTGTTGTTTTGGCTGTTTGCTTCAGGTCATTATCCTGCTGGAAGGTGAACTGCCGCCCCAGTGTCAGGTCTCTGCACTCTGGGGTTTTCTTCAGGAACCTCTCTGTATGTGGTTGCATTCATCCTTCCCTCTGTTCTAACCAGTCTCCCTGTCCCTGCTGCTGAAAAGCCCCCATAGCATGATGCTGCCACCACCGTGCTTCACTGTAGGGATGGTGTTAGCAGGTGACGAGCAGTGGTTGGTGTTCATCAGACATAGTGCTGAATTCTGCTGAAACAGTTCAATGTGCCTCAAGGTGGCTTCAGTCGAGCCGCTCTGCCATAATGGTCTGATTGATGGAGAGCTGCTGAGATGGTCATCTTTCCAGCAGGTTATTTTATCTCTGAAGAGGACTTCTGAAACTCTGATTGAGTAACTATTGAATTCTCAGTCACCTTCCTGACCACAGCCCTTCTTACCTAGTTACTGAGTTTGTCCAGATGACTGACTATTGGAAGGGGCCCTGTGGTCCCACTCTTCTTCCATTCCATCCGTGATTGAGGCCGCTGTGCTCCGGGGGACTCAGAGCTTTGGAAGCATTTTATCACCTGCTCTTGTCCTGAACTTTGCCTCACTACAGTTTTATCTCAGAGGCCTACAGAGAGAGCCTTGGACTTCATGAGTTGGCTTGTCCTGACATACAGTGTGAACTGTAGGACCATATTTACACCTGTGAGTTTGAGGAGAATTATCAGTTGCATTCATACAAACCACACAGACTTGGTTGTGAGACTGTTGTGACAGTTCCCAACCAGTGGTTGTTCCACTGAATGGAAAAGGTGAATGGGTGAGTAGAAAAGAAAAGCACTATACAAGTCCATTTGGTACTATTTATATGCTTCATGTGCCACTGGAAATTGCAAGTCACATGACGCCCAACGACCGTGCTTTCCCCCTATAAAACAGTATTGTCACAAGAAAAATAAATAACATTTCAGAGCGCCATAAACACTTAAATTTATATTAACACA